TTAAAGTGCGCGAGACGTGAATTTATATTGTATTTATTTACAGAGGTAGGGGAGAGCGGGGCACAAAGTAACACTTTTTGACTTTCTCAGTTTGTGTAAATCCACATGGGGTTCAGAATATATATATTTTTTTTTATCCACGGTAATTTTACACTTGTTTAGTACAAATATGTCACTTTGTTTCATAATTACAGTGTATACATTTTTCTTTATTTGCCCTCAAAAAATGGAAGTGAAATGTGACAACATGCCCCGTAGGTGGAACACATTGTAACATCTGAGGGGCACATTTTAACTTGACCATATGACAGCTTAAAATCTTATCTGATCGAATGAAAAATATATACAAGACAAACTAAAATATTTTGTTAATAAATAAATATATATAATTTTTTTTATTTTGTTAAAATAAAATAATGGCGTTTTTTTAAGAATTAAAAATAATCTGATTTTGGAGTTTGACAATGAACACATTGCAACCATGCTTGGGACGGCCCACATAAACGAGCAAAAATGCTTTACATGTCTTGAAATAATAATTTCTAAACATTAAACATTGACTGTCAGTCTTTATTCACCTCATTCTCGTTGTTTCTCATTCAAATTAATTAAAGTAAATAGTGTTAATTACATCGCTAATGTCATAGAATAGCACATTGTAATGCAGTGTTACAACGTGCTCCATCTGCGCAACTGGAATTTAAAACTGGTTAGTGTCTTTTTGCTAGTAATCAAAGCATTAAAAAAAACTATCTGAACTGATAAATAACAGATTGGAGATTAAAATAATAGCAGATTTGTCTTATTTTAAATGAATAATAAAAACTGAGATAAAAAATTTACTTAAGCCAGAATTTAAATGTTACTATGGTAAAATAAATATTCAAACCAAGTGTGTTACAACTAACACCCTGTTACTTTGTGCATCGCACTCATCGCAAGTTTATTGTTAAATTGTTAAATGCCCTTACATATCTCTGTCACCATTATAAGTGTTTGATCACCACATTTGAGTGATCATTGCAAAAAATTTGTTTATGTATATACTGTATTCTACTTATAGTACCAGTCAAATGGACACACGAATGGGAAAGTGTACAAACTTTTGACTGGTACTGTAATATAATATACACAAAAAATATCGGCCGATGTATCTGCCTTTTTTTACTCCCTAATATCGGTATCGATATCGGCCCCAAAAAACCCATATCGGTCGGGCTGTAATTAAAACTGATCTTTTTATTCGCGTAAAATCTTGTATTCTTCCTTTTAGACGGTGCCATGAAAGTCTTGACAAAAGATTTCTAATACTTTATTTAAACACAAGTGTTTCTGAAAATAAATGTAAAAAAAAAATCAGTAACTGAATATCTACATTATATCACAGCATGTTACCTCCTATGGCTTAACATGAGGCCTTTTTATGAGGAAACTTTTGCCACAGCTTAGGTCAAGTTTATGAGTTTAGGTATGAACTCTTGTTTAATTCAGTACAAGACGCAGAGAAGCTGTGTGCCTTAATGAGAATTTTGTCTCATCAACAGTCAAACTGGGACACAAACCTGTCAGTGCTTTGTCTGGATCCACTTGCCTCCTTTCCTGAGCACATCACG